CTTGTTCTCTTCATCTTGCATGCCCTGGCCTGGAAGAACAAGCCGTGCTTTCCAGTCAAGGGCTATTGATTTCTTTCTCCCTCATAGGCACCGTAGTCCAGAGCTGTTCCCTTTTTAGCTGAAACTGGAAGAGTCCTGTCCAGCCCAAAGCTGCTAGAGAAACTGAATTAGCAAAACCCCAAGAGACACGCTTCAGTCTGAATGGCACTGTTTCCACCCTGCTTTGGCCAGCTCTTCCTTGGCCTCACCAGCTACATGAGACAGTTCTCTCTAGCTTCCCTAGAGAATTCCTATTCCCAACCTCACTACTTCTGTGCCCAGGCCAGTGCCTTTCACCCAGGGGCTAAAGGCAAGGTGGGACCTCCACAAACTTTAGAGTTGGCCCCATTTGGGGGAGGGGGCTTTAAGGAATAGTACACAACCCTTCGAAGTCCCTGGTCAGTACAGCTGTGAGTTGGAGCGAGCCAGAGTTTCCAAGCACTGCACAGACAGGAGAAAGATCTGTGTTTCCTTTGCTTGCATTTAAACCAATTGCCAACCCTGAAACCACCAAGAGCCAGGAAGAGGCACAGTGAAGCTTAAACAGGCCTAGGTCTAGTGCAAAGCAGAGGATGACCTACACAAAGCTCTGCCATCCACTTTTGATGGTAGTTACTTTGTGAAGCCCCTAGTGGTGACTTCAGAGCAGTCAGAACCAAGGGCAGCTCTAGTACTGTGGGTAACATTTGCAGCCTCGCACATTTGTGCAGAGGGTTAAGGAAAGACCTGAGCAGGCCAACACCACCCCAGGTCTTGCCTAACACAGACATGGTATGGCATATCTGGTTATAGTATGACCGGATGGCTCTGCCCATGCCCAGCCGCTACTCATTCCTTCACCTTGCCATAACTGTTTATAGGAGATGATCTACCTTCAGAGACTGACTTATGTCTGGCCAATTCACCTGTCTAGTATAAGCTTCATAAGGGTAGCAACCATACACTAATGACCCCATGCTGGGGACAGAGCTTTCCCCATAGCAGATCAGCCATAATATTTGACTCCCTGCTAGAGGGACTGGTTGTGTTGCACCATGAGTCTTCTTTTCCTCCTGAGTCCTCAGGCAGGTAGATTTCAGGTGGGGGGGGGTGCTCAAAGTCATGAGCATGAGTGAGTTGTTTTCAAATCTGGCTTCCAAAGTCTACATAAGAATATGCTTTTCCTAGGGGAGTAATAAACAAACCTATGCCAGAGTTCATTAACCTTTGAGATGGATATCTGAGTGCTTTATGCAGCATAGTGGCCTGGCTTCTGTGGGGACACTCAGAGGTCAGTGCCTGCTGTAAGAGCAGATGGGAGGTCCTTGATTGAAAAGTGATTGCCTTCTTTTTCTTCTCATTTGCCTTTCCCCTCCTCTCTGTGTCTCTCTGTCTCTGTCTCTCTCTATCTCTGTTTCTCTCTGTGTCTGTCCCTCTCTCCCTTCCTCCTCCTCCTCCTCTTCCTCCTCCATCTCCTTCTCCTCGTCTCTTTCCCACTCCTTTTCCCTCCCCTCTTCCCTCTCCCCCCTTTCTCTCCCCCTTGCCCTCTTTCCATCCTGCTCCTTTCATCGTGCCCTTTCCCTTTCTCCCTGTCCCTCCTCTGACTCCCTCCATCTCCCTTCCTCCTCTCCCCCTTTCCTCCTCCTCTTCATTTAAGTCTGTTTCGTTCTTTCTCCCTCTCCCTACTGTTATTCCTTCCAGTGCTCAATTTATCTAAGCACCCTAGGGGATCATGGGGCAAGTAACTTTTGTCCAAATCGGGCCAAAAGCAGGAAACTTTTGTAGGACATGTCCAATTCTTGCTGGGCTCCATGACCCCACCCACAAGCTGAGAGTCCCTTGTGTGACGGAGTGTGGAATTGGTAACAGTTGATTGTCCCTCTTCGGGGGTGAAAGGGAGGACCCACATGTGAAAGAGGGACGAGGGAGACATTAGCATATGGTGGGTGCTGGGTAAAGCTGATGCAGCACAAGTTTAGTTCTGGCAGGCCCTGTGCTGAGATCTGTGGTGCCAATAGGCAGTGGTGGGATTTGGGGAGCTCAGGCCTTTTGCCTCCCTCCTACTTGGCACACAAGTCAAGGTACTAGCTGTTCCATGAACCCTCAGAGACAAGTGGGGGCTTTATAGCTTACTGGGTATTAGCATGAAGCTTCCAGAAAAGCAGCCAGGATCTCTCTGTGAAAGCGGCTCAGTGAGGCTGGAAGAGGGTGTGACAGAGGAACAGCTTGGATCTCTGTTACCTGAGACTGCCCCTTGGCCCCAGCCCTAGCCTTATTAGCTTCACCTCAGGGGGAGAAGCAGTCTTGGGTTCCCACAGGCCTGCTCATCAGTGTCCCCTGTACAAAAAGATCACGGATAAGGCAATTGCAGCAGTACAAAATTGAATCATTTGATGATCCCTCTATATGTGCTTATAAAAGCCACCCAACCTGGGCTATCCTTCACAAGAGGGGCAGCAACAGTGTACTGTCACCACACAGCAATTCTCAGCCATCATTTCCTCCTGGTCACTGAAACCATTTGTCATTTCCTGTTTTCTCCATTTTCCAACCGTTCTAATTGTCAGTGTCAAAAGGCAACAACTGTTTTCTTGGGGCTTATCTTTGGAGCACATTGATTCAGAACAAAGGATGGGAGCCTTGTCTGCAAAACAAAGGAAGCAGTCTCCTCTGGAGGCCTGGAAAGGATGCCCTGTCTCCCTCTGCCAGCAACAGCAGGACCCTGGTGGAAGCAGTAGGCTTCAGGCAGAGAGCTGGTGGAGGACACTCAGACATAGGGCTCCTATCCAGAACCCAGACGGAGCACAAAGCCCCCGTGAGGGACACTGCTGGCCAGATTTGACCCCCTCTCTGGAAGCTCAGGATATGTGCTTCCATGGATAAAGACTGCCCAGAACCGTATTTCTCCTTGTGAGCCTAGCCCAGATGTGCAGTTGTCTCTTTCAGCTGGCAGGCCAGGTGGCACCAAGACTCCACCCTCTGACTCCTGCCCCAGGCCACCCTTTCTTTCTCTTTGCCGTGGCCCTGGTCACACTTTTCTATCCATCCATCCCTTCGCCCTCTCCTGTTTTCTCCATCTGTCCCCTGTCCTACCTCCAGACAACGGATACTTGAAACTAATAAGCAACGAGTTAGGGACACCAGGATGAGTGCTGATACACTGCGTCCACAGTTAAGAAGCATTGTACTTGCTAACATGTTGCTGTGGCAAAGTCATTTAACCTCTTTTGAGCCTCCCATACCCATCAGGAATCTGGGGACTATAGTTCTTTCCTGGTGTCCTCAGGAGGAAAAACAGAAGTAAAAGAGTCTTTAGAAATGGCACCCATCCAGAGCATCTTCAGCCAGATCCAGATTCAGTGGCCTGAGCTGATCATGTGACAACTCCCCACACACACATACACACATAGCTTCTCTGTGTTGTGGCCAGATGACAGGAAATGATGGGTGTGAAGTGCTCAGTGACAGTAAGACAGATCCACCCCACGCCAGCTCCCTTCAGGCCAGTGCTTTAGCAGGAAGAGGGCAGCTGTGCTGGTCAGCCAAAAAGCATTCTCCCTCCCTATAACATATCCCAGCAGCCCCAGTACAGGAGGAGGCAAAAGCTACAACGCGTAGCAGGCTAAGGGCAGGGTAGAAAAGCAAAGCCCGGTCTAGGGAAATCTTCCCAGTGCCATGTGTTTGTCCTCTCTGCCTTGGCAGGAACTGAGGCCAGGAGCTGCTGCCAGGCTTGTGAGTCGGGCACACTCCCAAGCATCGGCCTTCTGCCCCACCCGCTGCCACAGCAGTCCAACTCAGTGCAGAGAAGGGCCTCTGGAAGCCCTTTGCTGGAGAAACTGGTGCTACGCAGGCAGCCTGTACCCTAAGATCCAGTCTTCTGACAGCTGCCTTGGTGACTGGCACACTCATAGCAGGTTACTTAAGAAGGGGAGCGAGGTGGGAGCAGGTGAAAAGAGAGTGTGCGCCTGGGCCTGTGGAGAGTCAGACCTGCATCCCAGTCGCAGCCTGGCCTTGCCAGCCTGTGGAGCTCAAAGTCAGCTCCTGCATTCATGTCCAGTCTATGAGCCTTCTCTGTAGCTTGGCTGTCTTCTTGCCCTTGGTCCCATGAGCTGATCCAAAACTGAGTAGAGCCTGGGCCTGGAAGCAGAGCTCATCCCCCCTGCCCACCCAACCCACTCAGAGATGGAGACAGGAAGCTCCTCCACTCTCCGCAATGCATCAGGTCAGGAGGAGGAAGGGAAGTGTCCAGTGCGTGTCTAGCCACTCTTGGTGTAGAATGGTATGTCCGTCTGACCATGTGACCATTCAGCTGTTCACACAGGAATATCTGGATCAAGCCTTGGTCCTCAGCCCCTGACAGCCCTGCAGAGACTGGGCAGCCACCAGTAAATAGCCCATAATGTGCTATTTACTCATCCCCAGCACCCTTATCCTGCCAGCCAGTCCCTGTCTGGATCATTTGAAATCTTATCCCTAACCCGCATTGCTCACCATCTTCTGGATACAGCTAGTTTATCTGCGTCTCCCTGAGATCGGAATGCCCAGATACCTATTATCACTGTGGTTATGGTCTGGCCATACCCTGCAGAGTAGCATAGGACTGTCACCTCCCTCCTTCTACGTACTCTGCTTCTAATAATGCAATCTGTTACATTTGCTCTTTTGGCGACCATATCTCACTGCTGACCCATCTTTAGCAGACAGATGTCCAGAATGCTTAACTGTTTCTCTGTGTGCTCTTGCTATTAAGCTCTGTCTCTCTTGCCCCATTCTATGCTGTTGCAATTGGTTTTCTTAACCCAGATGCAGACTCCTTTTATTTGTAGTGGTGTACTCTTGCTCGGGAGGTTGGGGCATGCATGCAAGTGTATGTTGATGTGCTCACTCATGCTTTTGCTGCACCAAAGGTTCGCACATAGCAATCCAAGGCTGATATTTCCTGGTGTCTGTAATCTAACATGCTTCTTCCATGTTCTGTTTAGCAAGAGAAGCAGAGATCAGGTCCTACGGCAATGACCCCTAAGCAGCAGAATGTGTATATTGCCCAGCAGATGACTCAATTTCAAGGTAAGCAGCAAAGATCAATGCTCCCAAAGGAGTCAGTGGGGGGAGGGGGCACTGGTGATTTATTTCCCAGTCTGCAGTGTCTGCTTGTGGTGTGCGAAAGAGACAGAAAGATCTGAAAATCACTCAAATCTAAAAGTTCATTTGCCTTTATAAAAACATGATCCCAGCCGGACATGGTGGTGCATGCTTTTAATCCCAGAACTCAGGAGGCAGAGGAAGAAAGATCTCTGTGAGTTCAAGGCCAACCTGGTCTATATAGTGAGTTCATCAGGCCAGCTGCGGCCTCAGGGAGACCTTGTGTCAAAAAAAAAAAAAAAAAAAAAAAAAAAAAAAAA